TGGATCCGAAGGTGAATGGGTAGCCAGTGCAGGGAGGCCAAAACTGGCGTGATGTGCTCTCTATAGCCTGTACCAGTTAAAAATCGGGCTGCAGCATTTTGGACCAGTTGTAGACGAGCAATGGAGGACTGACTGATTCCAAACAGAAGTGAATTGCAGTAATCAAGCCTAGATGTTATGAAGGCGTGGATCACTGTCTCAAGGTTCTTTTTGGAGAGTATAGGCTTCAGCTTAGACAGCCGTCTCAGCTGAAAAAAACAGGATTTGACCATCATGTTTACGTGACTGTTGAGTTTTAAGGACGGGTCCATTATCACCCCCAGATTAGTGACCTTTTGTTTCTCTAGCGGGGCTAGAGAGAAAAGGTCAATGTCATGGTTCATGAGTGAGCCACTGGGATGGAACAGCATGACTTCAGACTTCTTCTCATTGAAGCTTAAGAAGTTTAAAGCCATCCAGTCCCGGATGTCAGCCAGGCAGTCAAGAAGAGGCTGAATAGAGCGTGTGCCTCTGTGCCTCAGGGGGAAGTAAATTTGGCAATCATCGGCAATCATCTGTTTTAATCTTGGGCATAAAACTATTTTTGTTATTGGTGTTAACATAATGCGTCTAAAAGAACTAAACAACCGAGAAAGACCTTAGAAAAAAACTCGACGAAACACTTAAAGAAGCCTGAACGCAGTCCCACGGCGCTTCCGTGGCACGCTCCTTTGCGGGGGCGCGCCCGATTTCACCCGATCAGTTTTTGGCAGAGAATCACTTTTTGGCACAACACCGGATTCACTGTGAGTGACTTCAGAGCAGCTGGTAGATACTGTAAGACTAATAGTGAACGAAAAGAAGACAATGAGCATTTAATCATTTCTACTAATATTTTTGTTGTGTTGCCACAGTGTGTTGCCAAATTCTGATCAAAAGTGCCATTTTTACACCTTCATTCACTAAATTAAATGTCCTGTGCAATAACAACCTGCTACAACTGTGATTATCAACCGGTGGCCGTGGGCCACTTTCGGTTTGCTGGAGGAGACTTTTGTGGCCAGTGGGGCTGACATTATAAAGCTAAAAATACCTAATGATTTTTAACATTTATTGACATTTTTACAATTTATGACAAATGAAAAGACCAGAGGGGCAAAATATTTTTTAAATAAAAAATAAAATAAACAACTATGAACTATGCAGACCTATGTGATTTTTTTTTTATTGTGGAAAAAAAGTTAAGTATAGAAATAAAGCAAAAAAAGTGAGTATTTGCAGAATAAATGACAGGAAAATGGCTACAATTGATACTATTTTGTTGTTTGTATAACAATCAATAAATTTCAGTTTTATGTTAGTTTTGGTCAAAGAGTGAAAGAGCCGCTGCAGAGGGACCAAAGAGCCGCATGTGGCTCCAGAGCCGCAGGTTGCAGACCCCTGGTTCATACCTTGGAAATTTCTGAAGAAACCTTGAAATGGAGGAGCTTAATGCTCAAAGTTCTAATATCTACAAGAAGGATTCTGACTTAGAAACAGAACAAAAGTTCAGAATTTTGAGATTAAAGTCAAAATTATTTTTTGTCCCTCAATTGTTCTGGAAAAAGAAATGTAGGATTTCTAACTAATCTTGTAATTCTGACTTTTTATCAAGAATCCAACTCCCCCACCCCACCTCAAATTTCTAAGAAATAAAGTCTGAATCCTGAGATTAAGTCTTAATTTCAATTTTGACCTCGAAATTCTGACTTTAATCCTGAAAAATGTCAGAATTTAGAAAAATAAAAATACTTTTCACCATGGCCCCAATCCTCTTCCATACACACCAGATTCAATCTGTAAAGCACAATATAAAGTTTAGACTTGTGTAAAAATGTAAGATGGTGGAATGTCAACCTTTTGAAGAAGTGTAAAGAGAACCATCATCCATCCATCTATTATCTTTTATTCTTCCTTTTTGGGTCACGGGGGGTCACTGGTGCCCATATCAGTTGTCGCTGTGTGAGGGATAGGTCTCCAGTCCATCACAGGGACACAGGGAGACAAACAACCATTCACTCACACCTAGGGACAATTTAGAGTTACCAATCAGCCTAACATGCATGTTTTTGGTCTGTGGGAGGAAACTGGAGTAGTTGGAAATAACCCACACATGCATGGAGAGAACATG